TAGTTTTGTGGATGCAGTCTGTTTCTGTCGTGTGCTTTGTGATAATATTCTGACTGACTAGTAAAAAAATTCGTTTGCTGATTATGGATTGTGGCATCTCTCTCTTTTCTCTCCCCTTCCCTCCAGGCAGCGCGGGCGCCTCCCTTGAGGTTTTTTGTTTATTGTTCCTCCCGTTTTCTTGATTTCCTCCCCTATCCCAGCAATTTCGGCACAATAGCTGTTTCCAAAAAGGGAACAGAAAGGGAGGGAGAGAGAGAAAACAAAAATGTATAACGAGTCAAATTCCTGTTCTTTCTTAGTAGTGGCTAGGTTAAAAGTATAGTAAAAAAAGCCCCTCCCTATTCAGAACCATTCTCGTAGAGAGACCTCTGAGAAATACTGCTCATTATTTTTTATATCTGCAAAGCATACCTTGTATACACAACAATAATCCATCCCATCCCTCTCCACTCTTTGCTTTGCTCAGCCTGATGTTTTTTCCCAATTCCCAATTCCAATCTTCATCCAGTTTTGATTTCAGCGGAAAGGGAGGAGAGGAGAACGTAGCCATAGCAGCAAGCCGGTCCACGATCAACATCTGGCCCGCCCGGCTGGCTGCCCATAGGCGAAGTTGAGAAATCAGAAAAAGCGAGATAATACGGGGGAACTCTTCTTCTCCTTTAGTTCATTTTCAAATCGTCCCTTCCCACTAAAGGGAGGAGCGAAAAAGCTCACCCAGAGAGAATTCGGGATTGTTTTGCTATTTTCTCTCTCTCTCTCTCTCTCTCTCTCTTTTTTTTTTTTCTCTTTTTTTTAAAAAATTTAACTTTGATTCTTTATAGTATCAGATTAAACTATTTTCAACAAGTGATTTTGAGGATCTGACCTAATCTGATCCGACAATGATCATGATAATGATGTGGTATGTATGTACAAGATGTGCACGTTTGCGTATGCCCCCGTTTTTCTTCTTTGCACTATTGGCAAGAAATGCAATATAAAACAGGACAAGAAGTGATAGAAAAGGGATACAAAAATTTGGAAAAAAAGATAAATAGAAGTGTATTAAAAAAAGAAAGAAAGAAAGAAAGAAAGATAGAAATAGAAATAGAAACATGGGGCGACGCGCTCTTTCATCTATTTCCCGCCCCATGCTCCTTAATAATTATTAATATTACGTTTTTTTAAAACTTTCGTTGGGGAACAATGCGTAAAAGAGGTCTTAAAAAAAGATGAAGGAACAAAAAAAGAACAAGGCACAAAATTTGGGGAAAATGCAAAAGAAAAACCGTAGTTTTTCACGTATCGTTAAATAGGTGTTGTTCACATGTCCTTTAACCCCCGCCCCCTAGGATCTTACCGCGTCTTCTTCGATTCCTTCACATCCACATCCGTCACATATGTACGGTCATCCCCACCCTCGACAGCCTGAACGCGGGATTCCATCTCCTTAACCTGCCTCTCCCACTCCTCCTTGGCCATCTTCGTTTCCTTATGGAAAAGCTCGATATTGGGCTTCCGATAGCTGCCACCCAGTCGATCCCAGATGGTTGTGAACTGGCCATAGTTGAAGTTGAAATACAGGTGGTGCATGGTGTGGCAGGCGGCGCCGTTGATGATGGGTGAGTTGGCAACATACTCGCCGTCGTGGATCAGGACGGTCCAGATGTTGATGAAGATGAAGAAGAAGACGTAGGCGAATTTCTGCAGGGGGAAGAGGAAAGGATAGAGGTGGTAAGGGATGCCTTGGGCGTAGCCATCGATAGGGTGGAAGGCGTGCGACGCATACGGGGTTGGCATGATCCATTTATGGTGGGGCTTGTGTAGGTGTTTGTAGACGAGCGGGTGGTGGAGGCCGCGGTGGATCCAGTAGATGAGGAAGTCGGTGAAGAGGAGGAAGAAGGGGATTTGAAGGTAGTTGTAGAGCGCGAAGGGGGCGTCTTCGAAGCTGTCGTACATTTTTGCGTAACCGCGGACTTCGAGGAGGAAGATAGGGGCGGTTAAGACAGCCATGATGGGAAGGGAGATGGAGGCTTGTTTGATTTCCATGCGGATTTGGTTTTTGAGATACTTGGGGTGGTTGAAGGTTGATTTGTCAAAGATGAAGACGTAGGAGAGCGTAGCGAAGATGAAGTAGACGAGGAGTCCGAAGATCCTGTTTTTTTTTTTTAATTATTATTTCCCCTTCAATTAGCCATAGAAATAGGGGAAAAAACCGAAAGAAGGTTATTATTAGATGCCATACCAGGTGATGAGATAGAGGGTTAACAGCTGCCTCCACAGATTATCTCTGGGGAGCGAAGATGTATATGCGTATATCGAGGGTTGTAGCTTGAAATAGCTACTAGTCGGTTGATATACGTATCCGCCAGCGCCTACGAATTCGTACTTGGTTGCATTGAGGCTGCCGCTGAAGCTGGAGACGATGGCAGCAGCATCTTTGGCGGGGGCAAACTTCGCGTAGAAGTAGTCAAAAATGAAGGTATCGAGGACCTCGAGAATGACGTCCATGGCTGTCGTGTTTAATCAATATCCGAATCTCGTGTTTTCTTCTTCCTTTTATATATATGTGTGTATATATATATATTTACAAGACGTAGGCCTCTGCGAGGCAGATCAATGGGAGTTGTTTTGCCCGTTGCAAGTCGGAAGGGATAATGTGCGAACCGGCGCGAAGGGGTTGGTTGACGGAAGTGGCCAGGGAGAGATTTGGGAGGTCAAGGAGAGGACGCTGGCAGCAATTGATGGCTGGATGAGTGTAAAGGAGAGTTGGTAGTTGATGGTAGTTGGTGGTAGTGATGGTAGTGATGGTAGTGATGGTGGTGATGGTGGTGGAGGCGGTTGGAGGAAGGAGGTTTGATGGTTGTCAAAAGGAACAGTAGTAGTTGGTTGGCGTTGGTTGGTTGGGATATTTTGTTCTTCTGGATCCTGTCATGCGAGCCGGAGGTTGGTCCTGCCGAAAAGGGGGTTGAGGCGGGCTGCGTGGGCACCACTCGGCCAATCAGAGCAGAGTACCGATCGCTAGAACATCTTATCAATCTTTCAGCATTACTCCGTACTTACTACCCCTTCCGAGGCCGGTTCAATACGGGCCGTACTATACGGTGTATATTCTAGAACGAAATATATAATAATAATAATTATAATTATTATGCTCGGTAGTAATAACCACGCTGTATGTAATAATAATGTACAGACAGAGTATGTACAGAGTATGTACAGAGTATGTACAGTACATATTCCTCAAAGAAACAATACAGAATACAGAAAACTATCATCCATCCATCCCAGCTTGAGGGATTGTTGCCGGTATTCAATTTTTTAGATCCTGACATGACCCTAACCCAGTCCTGGATGGAGCCTAGCAAAAAAGACCTTCGGCAAAAGGAAAAAGTTTGGTTTAGTACGAGGAAAAAAGAATAAAAAAGGGGGAAAGCGGAAATGGGGAGAAAGGGAAAGGGAGGGTGTTCGTCCCATCTATGGTCCAATCCACAACCAACCACCCTTCAGGCAATATCGTATCATCATCATCCCTCCTCATAAGAGCCACTTAAGGTGATCACCCTAAAACCAGACAGAACCGGCCCGTCCAACGCGCCATGCTCCAAGAGAGCGCATGTTGTTTTTTCTGTTGCAGCAGGCTACTCCTGGCGCCCCTGGCGCCAGGAGTAGCCTGCTGCCGATCGGTGGGGGCTGCTGCTCAGTGCTCATCCAGCAGATGGACAGATGAGCAGATCATGCTAGCTAGGGTTCAGGGCAGGTCATGGCAGTGGAATAATACATGTACAGTACATACATACTCATGATGCATCTGGCTCCCTGCACACTGCAGCAGGTGGTTTTTTGGGCTTTGTTGTCCCGTGCATATTACTTTTTGTTTGTTTGCTGTATGTGTGGTTTGGATGTGTATTTGAAAATGGTAACAGCTAGTTATATGACGCGCGCAGATCTAGCTTTCACTCACAGGAGGAAGTGTTTAAACTGCTGTAGTTTTTATTTCCCTATTGACTTTTACCTCTCCCATTCAACTCTAGATATATATATATAATCATGTCTCAAATGCTGGGAAAGAAGAAATGGTTCCTTGTTCGCGTTGCCTACATAGTTAACTCCTTTGATCTACCCAGATCAATTCTTTCATATATCTGCTCTATACGTGCTCTATATGCATTCATGTACCACTATGAAGACTAAGCAGGAAACGTACTCTGTAAATACAAGAATAATGCAGGAAAATGAGGAGGGGGGCTGCATGGGATGATGAATGCTGTGTGTCAACCAATATTGCAGTATGAAATATGCATCATGATGCATAGCGCAAGCCTCAGCCATCAAAGTATGCACTGCACTGCACTGTACTCCGTACTCCGTACATGTACGTACGTACGTACATCTAAAGCTCTAGACAGGAAAATCGGGCCATATTTATGTGTGCAGAGAAAAGCCAAAAACAACCCTCATCCCTGGCTCGAGAGGGCGTGGGTTTGAACCTTTTTTCCTTTTTTCCCTCGTTATCTTTCCGCTTTTTACTCACCGCAATCCACCGTACCCAGATTTAACAACTTTTACCAAGGCTTCCTTGCCCAAGGCTTTCCAGGGAGGCCAGCCCCAAGGGACGGGACAGCCTAGGAATTTACCCGCTTCTAGTGCGCCGCTGTTGTGAGGTCGGCGTAACTCCCAGGGGGGCGTTGCACAGTACCACCCGCCCGTTCTCTCTGGGTTCGTTCTTGTTATCATTATGGTTTGTGTTCTCCCTTGGAAGCGCCTTTGCTGATCGCATCATCGCACGGACACGGCGGCACGGCAATCGCTCGGGAATAATCCAGCTTTTCTCTTCGTCCTCGACCTTTTGCTTCTTCATCCTCTTTCATCATCTTATCTTTGTGCATCTATCTCCTTTCCTTGCCGACTGGATCCCCGCTAGTCCTCGCTCAACATCCACCCACATCCATCTTTGCTCCTTTTTCCATTTCTATCCGAACATAACTGCCTCGTGGTTGTCGCGCTGTGACTGGAGGTGTCTTTTTTTTTTTTTTGGTTTTTTTGGTGGTGGCCAAGATCCGGCCCACTTCGCTTCTGGCGTCAAATCTCAGCCGCATTCCCAATTTGGTAATAAGCGGCGGCGCTTCCGTCCCATTCTCCTTCCCAACCACACCAACGCCAGCAACCTCAACTCAACCTCCACCACCATCACCGTTCTCGTCATCAACATCAACCCCATCGACACCGTCAAACCATCTATAATCAGCATTTCAATCTACCTATACAATCGCAGTACCGATGCGCTGACCTTGCCAGCCCCCCTACAGCTCGCCCTCACATCCCCACAATCCACCCTTCCCCTCCTCCACAGACCATCTCCCTTATCCAGCCCAAGGGAAACGGCGTCATCGCACACCTCCAAATACAAAACCTTCTCGTCGAACTCTTTCAATAAAGTAAAAGGGAAAATTAACTTAGACAAATAACTTACGGTCAGCCACGCCCCTTGCAGGCTTGCGCGCCGTCAACCGCCTTCAAAAAAAAGCCGCGCAAGAAAGGAAACAGAACAGTTACCAAAGGGAAAACATGTACAATCCACATCGTGGCATGGTTGCCGCTCCTAACTCTCGTTTAACAGAGTTACTGGACCAGCTACGACAGGAATATGAGAACCAATCGCGGAGTACTGGGGAGTTCGAGCATCAATGTGCGTTGCTTTTTTAATTTTTTAATTGTTTTTCTTTTTTCTTTTTTTTTTTTACAAAAAATTTCTTCCTCACCCTCTGAATTCTCGATCAAGAGCGGGTCTTTTTGTCAAACAAAGCATCGCTATGAAAAATTGACATTCCAAGTATATTGCTATTCTCTATTCGGGTGCAATTAGCTTCCCTTTTCGCAGTATGTGATGTCCTTCGCTGACGAACATTCATTGGCAGTGACTGGTCAGCTCCAGGAGATGGAGATGATCCGGCAAAAGGTTTACCAGTTGGAACAAGCACAGATAAAAATGAAGCAAGAGTATGTTTTTATCGTCTTATACATTCCCCCGTGGGGCAATCAGCCGATCGTCGTTTGTTGCTTCTTGTTCGTGTGCTTACATTGCAATAGATACGAGGCCGAAATACGTACCTTGCGACGAGAACTTGAATCTCGCGGCGTTCATCTACCTCAGTCCCATATTGGAGGCCCGCCAACGCATGCTGGGCCTTCCCAAGCTCCTCCCCCGGCTCTTGGTCATGGCCCTGCTAATCTATTTGGTGGTATCATGGCCAATCCAGGAGGTGGAGCTCCTGCGCTTGCACCCCCTCCTCCACAGGACCAACAACAGCCACCCCAGCACGCGCTTCAACAGCCCGGGTCCGCTCCCCAAGGACCTCCTCAACCACAGCAAGGTGCGTTTGGAGGATATCAGCCCGCCTCAGCAGTCAATGGTATGCTCCAAGCCCAATCCCACACCGTTAAACCAGAGAAGAGGAACCAAGAAATTTCTAATGAGTGACCCTTATACAGGATATGGACCTCCACCTCCTCCAACTTCTTCTCCAGGCCCAGGAAAAGGCAGAGCCAATCGCGCGCCCCCTGGCCCTGCGACTCCTCAGCAAAATCACCAGGTTGCCTACCCTGACCCTCGCGCCTCACCTCAGATTCCTCGTCCCACCCCCACTAGCCAACAACTGAGCTATCGCGTTGGAAACACGTTAGCGGATCTCGACCCCGACAAGCTCCCCCCGAGCCAAAAGAAGGAAGGCGCCGATTGGTACGCCGTTTTCAACCCTGAGGTTCCGCGCGTTCTGGATGTCGACCTTGTCCATCACCTTGTTCATGATAGCGTTGTCTGCTGTGTCAGATTTAGCAATGACGGCAAATATGTTGCTACTGGCTGCAACCACTCTGCGCAGATCTTTGATGTTGCGACTGGACAGCTCGTTACCGCTTTGCAGGATGAAAGTGTGCTTGATAAAGATGGAGACCTTTATATTCGCAGCGTCTGCTTCAGTCCCGATGGAAGATACTTGGCTACTGGGGCGGAGGATAAACAAATCAGAGTACGAAATATTTCCTTTTCTTATCGTATCGACTTCCTCTCGGGTTGACAGTTAACTAACCATGTTATACTACAGGTGTGGGATATTGCTAACCGAACCATAAAACACATTTTCTCCGGCCACGAGCAAGATATTTACTCCCTCGACTTCGCCCGCAATGGCCGTTACATCGCATCCGGCTCCGGTGACAAGACCGTTCGCCTCTGGGATATCGTCGATGGCAAACAGGAACTCATCCTCAGCATCGAAGATGGCGTTACAACCGTCGCCATTTCCCCTGACGGGCGCTTCGTTGCTGCCGGCTCTCTTGATAAGAGCGTTCGAGTCTGGGACACGACGACTGGATATTTAGTCGAACGCCTGGAGAATCCTGATGGACACATGGACAGTGTTTACTCCGTTGCCTTCGCGCCCAATGGCAGGGATCTTGTCTCGGGAAGTCTGGATAAGACTATTAAGATGTGGGAGTTGACGCCGCCCAGGGGCATGGTTCCTGGGGCGGGTCCGAAGGGCGGCAAGTGTGTTCGGACATTTGAGGGTCATAAGGTTAGTTTTGAGGCGAATTTCTTTCACCAAACGGGCTTTCGTCACGCGTTGCAAAATAAACTGATGTGCTCTTGCCTTTGCAGGATTTCGTTCTTAGCGTTTGCTTGACACCCGATGGACGCTGGGTGATGAGTGGCTCTAAGGATCGTGGTGTGCAGTTCTGGGATCCCGCTACTGGAAATGCGCAGATGATGCTGCAGGGTCATAAGAATTCAGGTTAGTTTTCGATAGTTGATGTCGCTGGTGCCGTTTAATCTCTAACCATCTGCTTGTTCGGTAAAAAAAATAGTCATCTCTGTCGCACCGAGCCCAACCGGGAACTTATTCGCTACTGGGAGCGGTGACATGCGTGCTAGAATCTGGAGGTTGGTTTTCATTATTTTATTTTTTCTCCCCCTTTGCCATATACCATTATTTGTCACCATTAGGACCACAATGTCCTGGTTCCGGTTCAGACTAAGCAGCCAACCGCTGGTTCTGCATCCAAAACCCTCAACCCCTCCTTCTCGTTCTTTGCATTTGTCGCCTCGCATATTAACTAGTTATACGTCATACCAGGTTAAGATACTGACTGAAATAAAACCCGCCTATGACAATAGCTATACCAACTGGGATCGAAGGTCATAAGCAGTATTTTTTTTTCCTTTTTCATCTCGACACGCACCCTTCAAACGGCAACCCATTCATGGCACACCTATACAAACCAACCTATCCACTCAACCTATGCAACATACAATCCAACATAAGATATACGGTTCATAGGAAGCAGACCACGCGAACAAGCTATCGGACACAATATAATGAACTGAAAATTCTAAGCAAGGGAGACATTTTTACAATATGGATTACTATATAATTGACTCGCCGTACCCTATCCTCCCCATATCCCCCCTTTTCTTCTAGGAAACCGTCCTATCCGTCTGCATACTTTTATATCTTTTACCCACCCCTGTCTAGTTTTGGTTTTACATCTCACTTTCGGGGTGGGGTGTATTGTGGGGGAGGGAGAGAGTAGGCAAATGGAAACTGATAGAGAAGGGAGTTGGTTGTGTGTTGTGAGGTTGTGGAGAGGGGGGAAATAAAACCGGAAATTGGAATGGCAAAGGTGGTTTTCTTTTCTCTCTTTCTTTTGTTTTTTCGTTTTCGCCAAAGGATCTGGATGGGTTATAAATTTCTTATCGGGCTTTCTTTTTTCTATTTTTTTCACGTTTTGTTTTCATTTCTATGGTTTATGTAGTCATTACCGGGTTTCCTTTTGATTGATTTTATAGCTATGCTATCTTCCTTTTTATTATTCCCTTTCTCCCTTTCTCCCTTTTTCTTTTTTCTTTTTTTTTATTGTCATTCTTATTATTCTACACTCCCAACCTTTCTCCCCACCTCTTGGGAAGAGGGCAGCTTTTTGAACTCGTTTTCTGGGAGGGTTGAATTTTCCATTTTCATCATCCCTTCTTTGCAGAAAGTTGGTATTGGACGGGTCAATGATATGGAAATCAAGATAGGGAGGGCTGGTAATTCTGTTATTCAAGTGTTTGTGCCTGCTCCAAATTGCAAGGTTTTGATTTTGAAAGTTGGAAAGGCTGAAGGTCGGTTTCTATTTTAGTATTTTACCTATATTGCAACGACCTACCTACCTGAGCTAGCCTAGGGAAAGGAAAATATATATATTTTTATGAGGATAACTATTCTTCTTCGGCCCTCTCCCTCCTCTTCCACCGCGGCGGAGGGAGAATATCAGTATCGTGGATACCTACAGTACCTATGAGTATTTTCCAGATTGGATGGAGCATAACATCCGAACGACTATTGGCATTCAATTGTATGTGCAAGGATTGAGAGCAACAAAACTCCCCTCGAATGTTGCGCGGTTGGAAGACATTCGTTCTGGAGATGTGGCGATGTATGTTTGTATATCCACCATTTCGATTTGTTGAACTGAATCGATTGATTGTATTCAAACACTTCGGTCTATTGTTCCATTGATAGTTTTTCATAAAGCTGGTTTAGTGTCAAGCAATTGAAAAAACAGTCACTTCCACTCATGATCAAAAAAAGTATTTATAAAATGGCTAAGATATTCAAAATACGTACAAAACTTGGCTACCGGGGGGCGCTGCCTCCACCGTTTTAGCTTGCGTGGGATGAGAGATTGTCGCCTCCCCTCAAATACATTGTCATCATTCTGTTCTGTTGCTTGCTGGCTTAGATATAAGAGCGGATGGATACGCCACTCCGAAAGGTCTGCATTCAAGTTGCCGAAAAAAAAAAGAAGCAAAAAAGCAATGCTGACGCCTCTCCCGCCCCTCGATGAGATCAACTTGTTCCAGCACTTGAACAGATTTGATCACGCCGGGTTGGAGTTTACGCGTCTTGCACGAGATATCTTGACACTCATCAGGCCACAGCCATCGCTGCAATTGCTTCCAGACCTCAAGGAAACGGTGTCCACACATTGCAGGAGGTGTTCCTTGTTGCAAAGCTACACAAGCTTCCGGCGAAATCTATCATACACCTACCTTTATGCTACGCGGTGAATTGATTGATCGCATGTAGCTGGTAAGTTGCTCAAACGTATCCATGCCTATTTATTTCCCAACAAGTCAGCGGATAGAGGTGCATGCATAGACTCAGATGAATAGCAACAGACATTTCAACCCAAAACATGTGGATGCAACGCGATGAAAATAACATTTTCAGAGCCCTTGTGGCAATTAGGAGTCTTAGGAACTAAGCGCACGAAAGATCAAATTTTCATTTCCATTTAGTTCCTTCAGAGGAGACGGAGGAATCCGAGGGCGTGTGAATGGTCCCTCCTTGGGATGTAGGAAATGCAAACATCGATTCGCGAGTCTCCTAGAGAACCCCTCCCTGACAAGGGATCATAGGTTGGCATCAGTGTGAGAGAGATACCTTAGGCCAGGCGACGGAGTTCATCCATCAAAAAGGAATTTGCACGGAATGGAGACGAGAGGTGGGTGGAAGGAAGAATGGCCGTTGGATGTTCAATCCTGCTACATGGTGTTGATGTGCGCCTTGGGTACCCATCAACTCCCCTCATACCGAGTTTGACTTTGCTAAGTTTGACGCAATCCAACAAGTATGCCACAGGGGCTGCTATGATTCCAGCTGTGCTGCGAAGCCTATTACCTGCGTCTAGGCGTTACTTCCATTCAACATGCCAACATCTCGGTGGTGTAGTGGACCACAATAAATTGCCCTGTGAGTGGGATAAAGGACATATCGGTAGTTAGTGGCGAACGAACTATCGGCCTCGCGCTGCTTCTCGCGCCCCTATTCCACGGCGGACGGGACTTCCAGACAACCACCCACCCAGTTTAGCTGGGGAATAGGCAGGAATGAGGAATTTTGTGCATGGTCACGGCTTTCATTGAGTGCCTTTAATGCGCTACCGAAGGGAAACTTTTGTCGCAGTATCCGTATTACATCCCATTATGCCACCCACATATGGAGGCAGGCTGGCTTGCGTTTGTTCACCGCGTGGAAGTTATCAGATAAAATTTTCATCGCACAGCCAAGTAACCTTTGCCAATTAAACTCCCCTCATATATTCGGCCCAAATGGGGTTTTCGGGGCAGCTAATACCCATCTGCCAGTCAGACAGTACCCGGCATCTGACGAAAGTGTGAAGGAAGCTAAGTGTATGCTAGATTTCGGTCGGTTGTTTGACTAGAGGTTTCAGAAACGCAAGCGCTGGGTGGACGAAAGGGATAGAAAGAATAATAGATCGATCTGTCGAAATGGCACTTGAGGTGAACCACGGGGGAGCAAAATAGGTACAGTAGATAGATGGTGGCACGCTTGACCGAAGATGCCGTCAACGATGGCGCAAACAGGCGAAATTATATATATGGCGGCCAAAAGTGTCGCCGAACCACCTGACCCTCTTTCTTTGGTTGGGCTTTCGGTTCGTGCTGTCGTCAAAATAAAGTTGTCTTTCAAAAGACTAAAAAAAGACAACAAAACAAAAGAAAAGAAAAGAAAGAAAGGAAAAAAAAAAAAAAAGAAAAGGAAGGAAAAGCAAAATGGAAAAAGGAAAAAGAAATGAAAAGAAAAAAAAAACGTGGTTCAAGTATGCTATTTGCTTCTTCTCCACATGTTCATGATAGTTCTAGGGTTTCTCTCGAATATCTATCAAATGGCCGGGTGCCTGACGGGCCAAGAAGACAGTCGTCCTTAACAGTTCTAAATACTGAGTTTTTGGAGAAGAAATGGACGAGAGTTTACGGTGCTGTCAGTTGTATATACGAATCAGAGAGAATTACCAGTTGTCGCGCAGTAGCGATAAAACGATGGCTTATTAAAGCGGGAGGATTTGGACATCCTCGCCTCAAAGGCAACAGAAGTTCATCAGCCCTAGTTAGTAAACCCTCAGTTGGTCACTAGAAAAAGGCTGGGAATATCAAAATAGTCTCAACGAAATCACCAAATGGTTGATTTTTATGCATGTCACGGCTGGGTGAATCAAAGGCAATGAATTGATTGTCTGGACTTTTCATGCTTTGACACTTTTGACTCCCTTCCCATATGCATTCATCCATGACCATACATATATATCTGCATCCTGCCATCAATGGAGCCCCTGGTCGGGACGAAACATGTCACCCACTGGGCCACTGGTTTATTCGTTAACTAGTCTTATCTCCGGATAATATCAGCAGCTATTGACACCCAGGCTGGCTTTCCCACTTCCCCGGTTTCCAGGGCTCAGGAGATGAGCCTGCTGTCTTGCAGAAAATCTTCTCCACAGCCGGCATTTGAATGTGACCAGCGACTGAAGCACGTCCACATGTTATCCCTTCCCTGGGATATGAGAGAGACAATCCAGTTGTTCGGTTGTCAAATGCTTCATTCGGGTCGTGTGGAATCTGAAATCTTGATTGAGCCTGACAACATTGTACAGCTTCGGGACATAAATCTTTTAATCCGAAGCGTCGTGAGAAGAAGTCTAGTTTTATGGAGGGTTATTTTGCAAGCGGCACACAGTGTTTCACAGCAGAGAAAAAATTGCTTTCGAGCTCCCCGATCCGAAGGCGGCGCAGAGCGCACGGCGACATCTTCAAGCAGCTCTATTGGTGTTCGATGCCTGTTGGCCCACAATCGTCATTCTTGTGCTGCCATGTTGGGGGTGCAAGACCGGACGCTTGGTTCGTTCATCAAGCCAAAAAGAAACGATGGCGCCGTGGCGTTGGTGTATTTTCATACAAAGACAAAGTGGATATCTGCCCGCCTGTGATCCCGCGGGTCATTTATTTTGTTTGCGGAATTAGTACTCGGGGTTTTTTTTTTTTTTTTTTTTTTTTTTTTTTGGATCCTGATCCGGGTGAGTTAGTTACCCGCGCTGATTGTTATTGTTCAAGTTCAAATACTCCGTACTCCGTACTCTGTACGGGATCACCGAGCTACCCAAGTGGGCTTGCTCTTGTAGTGAAGCGGAAAGAAAAAGAAAACATAATATCCCTCCAGGCCTAGAGGGCATGGAAGAAAAATGGGGCCCGTTAAGTTGCTCAGAGCATGGCTGACTCCTCCCGTTTCCTGACAATCGTAAATCGGAAACAGGGACGTGGGAGATTCTACCTGAAAAACTGAGCCAATAATCCAACCGCGGTCGCCGCCAAATCCCAGAACGTTTTCCTTTTTAGTTTACAGTCTGTAGTGAGGATTCAAGTACCCTTGCTCCCACCATGTTCAAACATCGGCTGCAGATCGGACACTTACGCAGCGGAACAAGCGATAGTCTGATGGTTTTGAAAAAAAAAAAAAAAAAAGCCGGGGGAGATCTGAGCTAGAAATTCCTAGAAGTTGTCATTCGCCCATTTACAAGAAGGAGACTTCTTCGATCTTCAAATCAAAAGCCGGATAAGATTGTGCTTGTTTCTTACATCTGTTTTTCTTTTTTCTGCGGGATGGGGGCGAAGCTCACAAATGTGCATGACTACCCCCAGATTCTAAAAATTAGGTCACGATTCCCCAAGAATCTACCCACTTTCACTGGCTTTGGATTGGCTCTTGGCTTAGTCCTCGAAGACGCACTTCGGAACGGTGTGTCGCAAGGGGGCTTTTCTCGCTACTGGCGTTTGTCGCCCTTGTAAAATAATGCCGGTTTTTACGAAGCCTCTCGGTGAGGGGTGGAGGGGAAGAAGGCGCAAGCTTTCTCTGAAAGGAGATGCACAACTGCTGTGCACCCGCGCACATAAAACACCTCTTGACACGTAACTAGCTCCACAGGTGACTTTTAAAATGCGCCGCACTGACAGGTCATGTCGGCCGTGCCGTGGGCCATGCCTCCTGTGTCCCCGTCGTCAGAGTAATATGAGTTTCGATGAGGGGGCTCTTATCTCTGCTTTTTTGCCCAGCCGGCGCCACCCCGTCGAGAACAGAGGAAAAAGAAATTAGCTCGCCTTACAAGAAGCAAAGACAAAATGAGCGAGAAAAAGAAAGTCGAAGAAGTTGGAGTGATCTGTTTTTCGTTTGGGCCCTCTTTTTTTTTTTTTTTTCTGTTATTATCTGACATATCCATATCAAGTACGGAGTACATGTGTAGTATTGCCTTGATTTCCTTGTTCAAAGTTGAAGGTCACTTTTCTTACCATATGACAAGGACTTCTCAGCAGACTTTGAGCTTTTGCAAATCAAAAAAAAAAAAAAAAAAAAAGCAGATCCATGGATATGCATGTAGAGACGGAACGAAAAAGCAACGAGAAGGGAGGGGATGAAAAAAAGCAAAAAGCGAGAAAAAACAAAGTAAAACGCGGCGGCCCAGCCAGTTGGTCAACTATGCTCCCTAAATGGGCACATGCATGCAGGCGGCATTCATGATTCGATCTGGTTTAACTTTATCTCCGTGATAATTCTTGTCGCAAGCGCGTTTTCAAAACAGTAGGCTGGTGCTCTGCTTTGTCCTTTGTCGTTCTTCGTCCGTTTTCTAGCCCCCTGGGGATGGATAATTGCTTTTTCTTTTTTTTTTCTTTTTGGTTCTTGAGATACTTTTCCGCTAATTCAGTGCTGAGCTGAACGCTCCCCCCGCCGCCTCATCCAGAAATCCAGGGATAGAGACTCAACTAGCCCGGCCACTAGCCTTGGAGATCAGTCACGCGGGTTTGCGCGGGAAACAGGTCCCTGTGAAGCGTGTATTTTTGCTTTTTTTGTGGCGGAGGTGGGATTATGAGTGTGGATAGTTAGTACGGAGTAGTGATGAATGAATGCTTTGTGGATTTCCTGTTGATAGTCTGATTCCGAAGAGCCGAATAAGGACAGTCGATGACGCATATACTCCGTTATCCGTACTTTGTCGAATAACTTAGCGATACGGAGAGCATCGTCAAGGGCCCCCCTGAAGGCCAGGGGTCCACTTGAAGAGAATAAAGTGATGTTAGTGATAAGTAGGGCATGTTTATTCCGTAGTCCAAAGAGACATGAGATATCCTGATATCTGACGTTCTGCCCACGCCAACATTAAATTGACTAGCAAGTGGAGATCGTGCCAGAAGAGTAAGAAGCCAGCCCGGTGAGTGATGGAAATACGCCTTGTGAGCTGTAGAAACCAGGGATAGTCGACTATGTTGAATTGGCGGGTGGAATAACAGGTGTAGAATGTGTAGAATATGAAGTTAGAATGCGATTGTTGAGGTAATAAATAATAACTCATGGAACGAAACCGGATGTCGACTTGTCTCCAGAACCGAACAACAACAACAACGACAACAAACCACCACAACCACCACAACGAATTTCACCCCAAAAGGTCGTCGGCTCGTTAACCGGCAAATCGCACCACGCAGGCAGCCCTCTGGAAACAAGGGAACGGGCCGACCCATTTTTGCGGCTGGCAAGGTCTGATCGAGATCTTGGAATTGGCCCTGGGCCTGGGTGGAGTTGCGCGCAACGGCACAGAATAGATCACTCCGTATACGGAGCACTCTTTGTATGTTAAATCTCTTGTTGTTTAAAACAGCAATACAGCAAAAGACGACTGGATTCTAACAACATGCAAAGTGCGGTAATAATAAGAATAATAATAGGCGTGTCAGCTTGTCTGCCATCTCGGCCTTTTTGTGATGAGCATCTGATACCAAGCCATCGGCATTATCAAGCGCTAAATCGCGAACTTTGTGCTCCGTATAGCCTGGATCATGTTTAGCTTTTTGGGTTTTGAACCAACTCCCAGCCGAACCCGGCTCGAGATGTTAGTGACGGACGGGTTAGAAAGCTCCCTAGTCCACTGGTTGGCTAGCTGAACCAGCTCTCTCATTGGAACAACTCCCACTATCGTATGACCAGTCAGAGGCTAGCGGGCGCGCCACCTGCGACCCTCCCTGTTGTGTACAGAGTACATGCGGGCACCTCCCCCTGAAGCCTGCGTCGACAGTTCTCTCCTGGTCTCCAGGAGTTCGCATTCTGAGCATCTAATCTAGCCTTGGAGAGTTTCTCATTTTCTCTACGACTCCCGACAGCTCCGAAGCACCAAGTCGCAAGATCAACTCATTAACCAGCATAGCTTGATTTGACCCGCTTTACTTTATACATAAATCAAGGGTCGGCGTGTTTGAGGTGCCAGACACCTGATGCGTGCAGCCTCGCACCAACACATGTATGCCTGCATTGGTCAGGGTGCCCGCCGTATCAGATTGGCCCACGGGCGACATCCCCGCGCCAGTTGGCGTTTGGTCCCTTTCAGACTTCAGTGATGGCTCTGGTATCTCTGCAGCGCCGAGCAGCCTGGTAAGTCACAATTCAAGCTTGGCCACACCATTTCAACCCACGACGGAACCTTCCTGATCTTCCGCGATTGGTGCGCCGCCTCGTGCTGCCGGGTTCACACTGCTTTGGCCCGATTAGTCGTCAAAGTGGTCAACCCTGCTGCAGAAAGATCGAGAAATTATAAGCATCACTAACGAGTGGGCCTTGCTCTGGCGCTGGGTGTGTGTGTACAGCCTACGGGCGCAGTGTTGGGCTAGCCCAGAGTTGTCCTTTGCTTCCCGCCGCCCAGTGTCTGCGCTTCAATAATGCTTCATCCGTCGGACCCGGCCATATTTCCCATTTCCTCCCCACCAGCAATTGCAGCGGTTGACCAAGAGCGAAACAGAGTGACGAATCAACCACAGCAATTTTTTTCCTCAAGGCTGGGTTGGTTCAACTCAATAAGGAAACTTACACCTTGGCAAAATAAAAATCCTGATACTGTGCATCGAGCCGGTGCTCAGCCGACGGTCGTTCTGGATCGGGGTCTTCAGGTCCAAAAAATACAGGCCTTTTTCGAGTATTACTTTGTAAAAACAAGAACTCCGGACGAGATGCAAACTCTTGCCTTGTACAGTTAGTTGGGCCAAGGAAGAAACCTGTATTCTATTATGGAGTAAATGACACTGATGAGAATGATACTTCTGAACATAGTTCCATTTGCCATTTTTATTAGTGGTTGCACTTACCCTCTGGATAGGTAAAGCCCAACTGCTAGCTTGCTGACCATTGTTCTTGTCCGGGTTCCTGGCGGTCTTCGTCTAGATCCACCTTGCCTCGCTGAGGCACCCGCGGATAGTCGCCATTATTGGGCGTTCTCCTGCTCACATCCGGGCCTTGTTTTTACAGCCGGCCCCCAAAACTGACGCTAAGCTAACTGCCCAGTCTGGGATTTTTTAGTGTCTGCTTAATTTCAAGCCCTGAACCATTTTGGGGGCTTGAGAGCTGCAACCCCCAGCCAGTAACCCACCACCATTTCCTGTCAGGGATATCCGATCCTATCCCAAGATCCAACCTTTGCCTGACTCTCACGCTCTTCCCATCTTAACAGTATTTTTTGGGGTTCATCCTCTTAAAATTCGAATCTGCAGCCGAAGAGGAGAACCTCCAAAACGCACGTCATTACTTTTTTGCTTTAATTTTTATTTTCGCGGGTAACGACAATTAAGGCGCCAACCTTCCTATCATCCTGCTCTTGGTCTCCGCTTATCTCTTCCTATTTGCCCCATCCACTATCCGGTCTTCTGTTTCCTGGTATTCTTGCCCCCAATAGGCTTCGTCCCCCTGGAACCATAGTCGGGAAACAAACTGTGGTCTGAACTCTCAGTCCCCTGGCCTGGCGTATCTTGCCCCAAGTTCCAACGGCATACTCCGCTTTTGTGTGCTGCCGATCTTCAGAGTCATTGTATATCTTACCTCTGGTTTCCTTCAACCCTTTTTAAGTGTTTGCCTGCGCAACTCTTGGGACCCCGTTTGATCCTTGAACCCGTTCGAAAACGCACTTTTGGTTTTTTGACTGAACCACTAGGGGCCTCACTATATTTTTCATTCTGCCTCCCCATCTGCCTTTTCTCAACCGCGAGCTATTCTTGCCAAGTGCTGGGGACCAATTGAGATTGCGGCGATCGCATGACCAGCTTCCACACACCAAAATCACACTCTATTCGCAGCAGTTTACTTGCGCCGCATGTCGACTTAGCAGATGCGGATAACATTTAAACGCCAATCGTCATCGGCAGCAAAAGAAAAGTAGTAGAAGAAAGAAAAAGCAAAGAAGCTTGTTCTAAAAAAAAAAAAAAAGAAAGGAAAAGCAAAGAACAAAATAATAGAAAAAGAAATCAAGTTACACTATCTTTATTCCAACTGACGTGCGCCGAATGTCATTATTCTCCGCTGGCCTCAAGGAAGGAAACCCACCCTCCCACGCCTTCGTTAGCTGCGCCGTACAGACAAGGTCGGCCCTCGCGCTCGATCTGCCCGTCCGCTGAAATTCGAGATGGAGACGGCTGTCCCAGTTGCATATAATGTCACGAACCATGACATGAATGCTGTTGCCCACCGCCGCATGATGGCTCCACATCAACAACATCATCATCATCACCATCATCATGACCAGAATATCGCGTACTTCTCGAACCCACCAATTCCATATTCAACCCCTCTGCAGCCACCGTCATTCGGCGGTTTCGGTCACATATTGAATAACCATCCTCATCATACATCCTATCAGGGCTACTTTAACTCGAATCCGAATCCCAATCCCCAAGTGAATTCGCATCATCATCGGCTGGCCACTGAGACGAATCCGGTACACCAGGTTTCAGATATCCGTCATGTCAAAAATCCCAACCAGCGTTTAATCAGACCTTCACCACCAAAGGAAGACACTCTCCCTCCTGCTCCTGCTCCTGCTCCTGCTGTTGCTCCTCCCCCTCCTCCTCGGCTGCCACCGCAGCGCGTAAGCGTCGCACCAGTGCGAAATACCACGCAGCATGAGGACTCGAAGCCTATGCCCAAGCCCGGGGTGGAGTTTGGGACGGAAGTGGATACTCTGATGAAGGCCATACAGTCTAAACCGCAACCAGCATCGCCTCAAGTGGAACATCAACTCCCTCCTTTGCATCAAAAGTTTAATAATGGTGTCGCCAATTGGATTCACCCAGCTTACGCCAATCAAATGGCCGGGAACCAGGCTATTTTCCCTAACGCTCCTCAAGATCGTGTTCCACCCCCGAACCAAAAAGCCAAAAGGAAATACGAATGCACCCTCCCCCATTGCAGGAAGAGCTTTTTCCAGAAGACGCATCTGGATATCCATATGCGGGCACATACTGGTGACAAGCCCTTTGTAAGTTGGTCCTTGAAAATCGTTGCTTTTGATGGTACTGGGAAATGGTGGCTTATTATGGATTTGTACAGACATGCAAAGAGCCCTCATGTGGCCAGCGGTTCTCTCAACTGGGAAATCTTAAGGTGAGTCGAGAATAAACAAAAGTCTCGCGGCTTGAACCTATGCACGATATACTTACAGCCGTTTGCAGACACATGAACGAAGACATACGGGCGAGAAACCTTACTCGTGCGAGATATGCCATAAGAAATTTGCCCAGCGAGGCAATGTTCGCGCCCACAAAATTACACATGAGCAGGCAAAGCCCTTTAAATGTCAACTAGACGATTGCGGGAAACAATTTACACAATTAGGAAATCTCAAAGTCAGTATCACCATTCAGCCCAAAGTCAAATAGCTCGTTTCACTCGTAGAAAACACTAACATTTCCACAATGATGCAGTCCCACCAAAATAAATTCCACGCCCAAACCCTCCGAAACTTGACCCTACGATTCGCATCCATTGGCGACATCGACCGCATGTCCCCACAGGACAAGGAGTTGTGGAGTTACTTCTCCACCCTCTATCGGAATAGCAACAAGGGCATTAAGGGCCGTGGTAAGGACCGCCGTGTATCAACTGCCAAAACCTCAACTAGCGCCTATGATGGGAGCCATTCGGAAAGCGAGGGTGAGGCCAAAGGCCGCAGTCGAAGTTACGACCGTGCATCAGCAGTGATGACTTCCAGCAGCGACGAGCCAGATTACCGTGAGCAGCTTTACCATCATAGAAATGGTGCTCATCATTGAGAGCAAGCTTTTCTTACTCCGTCCTCCGCGAAGGTTATCATGGGTATCAGCGGAATTGCATAACAAGGAGACCTAATCGTTACCGGCGGGCGGGCTTCGGAAGTCAAATCCTTTTCAGATGCGGCTTCGTGCGCGAACCCGTGCTCTCATTTGATTGGAAAATTTTCCGTATATATTCAATACCTTTATTCCCCCTCTCCTTTTTTTCGCTTTATTTCTGTTTCCTATTTTTTGTTCTTCGGCTCTATATACCTCTTCTGCGTGTGCGTGTTTTCGACTCAGATTTGGAATATTTTTCCCCTGCTGCTTTTGGAATTTGAGTCATCTAGGTTTTGTTTTAGTTATCCCTGTTCCCTTTGTTTCATTTTTTTTATCGCGCATTGGCAAGGCGCCGTTTTTACAGTGATAAAGCAGGAAAAAAGGAGTGGAAGAAGGGAGGAAAAGAAAAAGGCATTCATCATGGCCATGATCATCGGCAAAACCATTGAAGCTGGGATTGTGCACATAGCATTTGGACTGGAACTTTCAGGGACTTTTTGTTGTGTGTGTGTGTGTGTGTGTGTGTGCTACATGCTTTCCTTAACATATTTGGGAAGGGGCGGGAGGCTGCGGGGGTTGTGGGCGAATATCTGAACAGACAGAGCGGAGGGAAGATAGAGCCAAGCAGGGAGAAGATAAAATATACCTATCTGGTGTTGTATGGATATGGGAAACAATACTTAGCAAGGTGTTGGGCGACTGGGTTACTATACTACCATTTTGTTCGGGGTTTACTCTTCTTTGGCTACATTAGGGTATTGATATAAAATTTATCATATTATAATATTTGCTTTATTTTGATGTACGTATCTAGTGCTTGGATGCGAGGGAGGAAGCCTGAAGGACCTTAAAGCCGTACGACTGGTGTCGTTGAATTATATTTCTACACACGAATATCCTGAAAGGCAGCGAAACCGCCTCAAAACAAGCGCCCTTAGCACTGCAGAAAACCTCCTGGATATATACAAAATAAAATCAAACCCGTAGGTATAGTTACATAAAACAGAGAAAAGCAAAGCCCCAATAGTCCCCCTTCCATCGACGAACCCCTCTCTAACCGTCTATCGGCCCCATGGATAAATAAATCCTAACATTCTCATAAACCAAAAATGTCACCCAAGTACTCGGCAAGACGCGCACCATATTCGGTCCCAACCCTTTATAAAACCCTGCCACACCTTCCTTGCGCCATATCTGCCCCATTGCATCCACCACGCCTCGATACGTCCCAGCCGCATCATACGTCTGCAGCCGCGCTTTAAGCACCTGGTATGGATACGTCACGCAGCCGGCGAATATCTTGGAAGTGCCGGAGAGGACGAGGTAGTCCATGTTGCTTAGTTTCAGGTCCTTGGATCTTGCGCTCCCGTTTAAGTTGCCGTTTCCAGGCACGCCGACGGCAGATGAGGATGTTGCATGTTCTAGTTGTGTAACAGTCGTGCCCGCTCGGTAATGTTTGAGCTTCTCGTACGCCATGAACTGGAGCGCACCGTGGCCCACTCCAAATAGAGCTGGGATCATTCCACGGTAGAAACCTGGGATACCTTCTGAGCGGTAGATGGCGCGCACACCTGCGACAAGAGAGGGGTAGGCGCCCGGGACGTTTGAGCCGGTAGAGAGCATGCGGGTTTTGATTACCCAGATGGGGTTCGTGAGGAAGGCTGTTAGAACACCTGTCAAGGAAAATATTAGTTTATCCATATCATATTCAATAAGAAAACACAATATATGGAGATTGTATTCTAACGTACCTGCAACTCCAGATGCGACAAAGTAATCCAACGACCCCAGCCCTCCTTCCGTCCTCGACCCATGCAAGACATGTAGAGTGTCTTTGATATTGCTGTACCAAAGGAAATACAGTCCCCAGCTCACAGAATTGCCGACCAGATTTGGTGTGAGGCCACGGTAGAAGCCGGCGATTATCCCACCCTCATGGCGGGCGATACTGCGGGCGATGCGGAGTGAGCTGCCGATGCGCGAGGAAGAGAAGCGGTCCACTAGAAGACGGAATTGGATCAGCAGGTGTTATTCTTTTCCCCGGCACATAGGAAATCGTAGGGGAAAAAAGACACTGTATACCGTACCTTGGAGCCTCGTCTTGATCACATCGAGCGGGTGGACGGCGAGGGTTGACGAAATGCCGGCGGTGAAACCGGCTATTGTCTCAACAACGGATGGCGACAGGCCATGGTTATCATTCATGGACTCGTTTTCAGGAAGCCCCTAGAGGACACTTCGACTCTGGGGAAGGAGACGAAGCAGCCTTTCTATTTGTTTTAAGCGTTGAGGCTGCGACGGTGGATTTGGTACTGGTTGGGTTGAGTTTGGAGTGGTGAAGAATGGAGTCGGGCGCATTTTTCAATTTTGATATCAGTTTATTTATGCTTCTGAAACCAACAACATTTGGAAGTATACGGCAAACTCTTGCCCAAAAAGCAGTAGATATCGAGCTGCTCTGCATATGAAGTTTTCAAAGAGGGTAAATTTCTCTGCCTTCCACAAGGCTAGGGTACACAAGGAATACAAACTAATCGCATGTTAAATCCCACCAGGTGGAGAAGCCTTTGAGCCGTCGATCGTTTTGTTAAATATTCCTATGACGAGTAACAAAAAAAAAAAAAAAAAAAAAAAAAAAATAAGATAAAAGAAGAGGACTAATATACAAATGCTTCCAACTCCAGTTTACAGTTAGAAAAAGAATCGAGGAAACACCCAGTGTCCAGCACCCCTGTACCCGCGCAAGCATCGCCCCCAGCATTCTATATGCGCACACCATTTCAGATGAAGGAAAAGGCCCTCCTTGCTCCCATCCCGTCGGTAAAAATTTTCCATTATGTTTTATACAGTCAATGGCAGCCTTCCCTCCTCTAAAACTATCCCGGGAACAATACCGTTTTCTTTTAAGTTTGGTCGAGTTTATGCGAGGGGCGAGAAAAGCCTGATATCGAGGTATGTAAGTATGTTTATGCGCTCTTGGATTTATAGCAGTGAGGGCATGGTCTAAGGGTATGTACTTGAAGAGTTGCGGCCGTGGCTCGCTATATGTATATCCTGATATAATGTTAGCTAAACAACTTTTTGGCCCAGATGAAAAGACGGCGATGGTTACCAAGGTAGATGATGAAAGGCAGATATCCACTGCAACAAGTAATAGGAGTGCGGTCAGTAATTAGATTAAAGATTAAGTAGGTTGCTAGAAAAATCAACTCACTAATGAATAGCCACTCGGGAAATGCCAATGACCTTGGAAATACGTTCCTATATACAATTTAGTGGACGAAAACCTTTGCGGGAGCAGAGTAAGCGGCGTACCTTGGTCTCTTCGGAGAACTGAACCATTTTGGAGGAGGTCGGAGGGAAAATATATATGATATAGGGATAGTTCGCTCGCCTATTTGTGGTTGATGCGGTTGTTTGGAGCTTGTCGATCTTATGTTCACTGTTGTCGAGGTTGTTCGACGCAGAAGTTGAAAGTTGAAGCTGGAGCGGACAAGGTTTTCGCCGAGGGACAGCTCAGGCCGTATCGGGCAATTCGAATTCTCCATGTTTATTTCTTCCCTTGCTTCCACAACCAACCATATCCAACACATTTACAAAATATCCAGCTTGTCGATACATAGCTGTATCCTTTTTATTAAAATAACAATCGCAGGCCTCACAAATCGCATCTCTCCACCATGGCTGGAGTCCGGCATTGGTATGTAAAGTGGCACCCAACATCCCAAGCATGAAAAGCTGACACTGTCTTCACAGGGAGCAAGACAAAGAAGCGACCGTATATATCGGTAATCTAGATGAGCGCGTCACAGATAGCCTGGTCTGGGAGTTGATGCTCCAAGCCGGCCGCATCGTCAACGTCCATCTCCCCAAGGACCGCGTCACGCAGACCCATCAGGGCTACGGGTTCGTCGAATTCATTAGCGAGGAGGATGCCGAATATGCTGCTCGAATCATGAACCAAGTCCGCCTCTACGGGAAACCCATTCGAGTAAATAAGGCGTCTGCAGACAAGCAAAAGACGGTCGAGGTTGGCGCGGAGTTGTTTGTGGGCAATCTTGACCCCATGGTTACAGAGCAGGTGTTATATGACACGTTCAGTCGGTTTGGGAGTCTTATATCTGCTCCTAAGGTATGTTACCTGCATTGCTCTACCTGCTATTCCTTTATTTTTTGTTGACAAACTAACCCGTATGTATTAGATTGCACGAGATGACGCGAACCTTTCCAAGGGCTACGGCTTCGTCTCCTTCTCTAACTTTGAAGCCTCAGACGACGCAATTGCAAACATGAACGGTCAATACCTCATGAACAAAGAAATCTCCGTCCAATACGCCTACAAAAAGGACGGCAAGGGTGAGCGACACGGCGACCAGGCCGAACGCATGCTCGCCGCCCAAGCGCGAAAACACAACGTTCAGCCTCAAGCACAACCCCTGCCCCCACAACTTGTTGGGGGCGGAGCGGGCGCGCATCAAGGAGCCCAGCCTCCACTTGTTGACGGCGAGGGCCCTGGTGCTGTTGGTGCTGGTCGAGGAATGAACCCTATCGCTGCGGCTGGCGGTCCACCAGACTTTGGCGGCGGGCGGGGGCTCCCCATCGTCAACGGCGCCGGTGGCTTCCATCACAACCAGCACATGCCACCAGCACAACACCCGCACCCGCACCCGCACCCGCACCAACAACATCCACACCAACACCATCGCCCACCACCTCATGTGCATCATCCCCCTCCGGCCCTTTCCGCGCCCCCTCCAGGCCTCCCTGCCCGACCACCCCCATCCCAAGCCGGCTATGGCGGGCCGCCACCGCAAGGATTCGTCCCCCCACCTCGCTTCGGTCAGCAGCCGCCACCAGCTGGCTTTGGGCCTCCTCCGTCTGCAGCAGGTCCCCCAGGTGCTGCACCGCCTCCGCTTCCGCCTGGGTTTCAGCAGCCCGGGTATGGGAGGGGTCGGTGATTGCATGAGAATTTCTAGGGCTAGTTGCGTATGTTATGTTACGGCTGCGGCTACTGCGCCTAAAGGACACCGGAAACTCTGTGCTGTGCCCTGAAAGATATTACCGGAATGTACACCGCCAATATATGACGAAATGTCTTGCCATTTGGACAAAGAGAAAGAGCTAATTGAAGCATTCCGCCACCCTTATATGGCCCTCTTGGAACGTCGAAAGGCTCCAAAGCATGGAAAGCACACACCAGCAGCAACTCTACAGGTCCCAAGGCGAGGAAATAAATGGAGATTTCAAGATTTAATATCGACCCCAAGCAGGGCGACCCCCATGGGTGAAGGGGAAACAAACACAAGCTTTGTACTGTACATATAGCTGTTAAATAAGCAAGGAAACTAAAACGTGAGAGGTCAATGGGGGAAAATATATTTTTAGCTAGACGAAAGCTACCTAAGGCAAGGAGGGGTACAAAAGTTTCATGGATTAGTAACTTGTTTCGATGACAGAAAAGATTTAGTGGAGAAAGAAGAGGGCAAAAAACTCAAGAGAAACAATATTTAAGGAAAATGATAGTGGTCGCTGGTGGTTAGGGAGATATGTAGTGACGGACATAGGAAAAATAGGGGTTGTGTGTTGCTAGCCAGAACGCAGTGAGCAGAATCAAATCACGCTTCATCAGATGAATATATATGGAAAGAAAACAAAAGAGTACAAGGAAATCCCGCTCAAGCCATTGCATCCAATTACCCATATACATCCTATAGACCCACCCCGCCTTAAAAAGAAAAAGAAAATCAACCCTTACGAAAATGAAACAAACTTCGGATCCCTCGGTCTCCCGTCAGGCCCGATATCGTTCTTCGCAAAGCGCCGCTCCATATAGATCCTCCTCGCCTCATTAAAATCCACCCGTTGCCGCTTCATGATCTTTAGCACCTCACGCTTGCCGACTCGGTCGAGCCCTGCGCGCCCGTCGCCTGATGCTACATTGTTGGAGAGATCGAAGTCTGCGGAAGAGAGCCCTGCTTCCATGTCGCCAGTGAAGGATTCAGGGAGGCGGGAATAGAGGTAGTCGGGTAAGTGGAGGAGCGGGAGCCAATGAATACGGGTTAGATAGAGGGCTGTCAAATTTGTTAGATACAGAAGGAGGAGGGAGGGGTTTGGTGGAGATTAGGGCTTGACGGATAGACGTTACCTGTGCCCGTGACGAGGGCTAGGAATGTGAGGGAGTAGAGTAAGTAGGACATTATGCTTTTTTCTTCTTCTTTGTATTCCCCGTATATCTTTATAGGGATGGCGGATTACGGCGGAGATAAAGGGAAGTCTTAGCGTAACTGGTCAATGGCCTAGCTGTACGGAGTAGTTGAAACGAGTGTTGGAAAGTGGAATAAAATGATGGCAGTAATAATAATAAATAATAAATGGAAATCAAAATCGCCGAATCAAAAGAAAGGAAATAGTAGAGAATGTGAAGAGGTACGACGTTCAGGTGTATGAAACTATACAATCATCGAAGCTCATGTGGGTGACGGGCTTTTTGAGCAGGCCTGACGCTGTATGACTAGTTATCGCATGTTCAGTCCAGACAAACTGAGATTCTGGCAGCGAAAGTTCACGGTATATCTGCTCTGCTGGACCCCCGAATCCAGATGTATAGCATTAGATGGACAGTCAAAGTGTCTTCTTGTCTTGTCGGCTCAGTTCCCATCCGGATGTTCGCGCTGGACAATACGATGCTGCGGCTCCAATGCTGACTCAACAATGACATAGTAATGATCACGTGGAGATATGTCCGGATGCATGTAATTCCGGCCGTCCTTGATACCTAGTTACTATTCCTAGGTAGGAGATGTTAGCGAGCCCAAAGCGGAAAGCGGTTGGCTTGGCCGCCAAGAGTTGCAAAATAATACACACAAGCGAAGCGACATCAACAACGACGAAGAGTCTAAGCCAGTCGAGATATCCAACTGCGAGCCTTCAATTCCTTCCACACCGTTCCTCTCGACTCGACTCGCCTCCAGCCTACATCATGTCGTACGCAGGCAGACCTAATTTGTCGGACGATGTCGTCTGGGAGATTGCCCGTACGTTTTGATATCTTGTTGATTTTGGAACCTTTTCGGAGGACGCTTTGGACTGATCGTGAAATTGAACAACAGGCACCCAGAACTCGTTCATGGTGAAGCGTGCCGGCGTCCAATTCTCCCGCGACCCTCTTAACTTGGTCAACAAGCACTCGCGAAAGGTTTGCGCCTTCTATATATCGATATCTACACATCTCAACATGGGGAAGAAATGTACTGACGGATGGGCCTTGCTTGAAATTTAGTATGCCGGGTTCGCGAACTCCAAGGTACGGACATAATTATTCCACGAACGGAAACGAAAAACAGCAGATAATTGGAGCATGCGATATGGGAAGGCCAGAAACATGAGACTGATTTATTTTGTCATGAAAATACAGGCCATTGGAATCAATGCCACTGAGAGTGGAAACATCGCCGTGACCACCAAGAAGCCCGCCATGGGCCACAGACCGGCCTCCAGCACCGTCACCAACACCTACAGCTCCACTGCTACCAGCCGAAAGTAAGCTTGACCTTTTCTTGCATCTGATGTTGGATGCAGGGAGAAGAGGGAGAAGAATTGAACTAGGGGAAGAGCAATACGATTTGTTGTGTATCTTCGAGGATGAATTGGCTGATGTGGATATTTTTTTAAAAATACAGGATCTACAAGGGCGTCGCCAACACCGCCACCAAGAGCGGGTACCGTCCCGATCTCCGCGCTGAGGCCGTCAGCCGTGTCAGCGCGATCAGAAAGTCGCAACGGCCCAAGAAGGAGGCTCCCGTGAAGAAGGCCAGAGGAGCCAAGGCCCGGAAGGCTGCTGAGGAGTCGTCTTAGGGGGTTTATTTCTTTGGTTTGAAAGGGATCGCTTGATGGGAGTTTATTTTGCTTTAGGTGGGTGAATTTGACTGGAATATCGATTTGATTTGGGGCAACGGGGTTAATTAATGGAAACCTGAAACCTGAACTCTTACGGAAAATCCCCCGTGGGGAGTGGGAGAGGGAGAGGGAGGGCTATCTGGGAGCCGAGAGTTCCATTTGGTTGAAAGGGTTTCATGAGACAATTCCTTTCTAATTTAAACCACAAAAAAATTATAAATCCAAAGCCTTTAAATCGAAATTCCAAGTCCATGTTTACTCATAGCTCCTTTCGTTATATTCAAATGAACATGATTGTGTCCGCTACTCACTCTTAACTTATTTACCACCTTCACTCCAACGTCCCATCCCCTATATCTATAGCGACAGCAGTCTAGGAACAATAAATTATCTAACCAGTCCCATTAAAAGGGTATTGGCCGAAAATGATGTCACGCTAGCCATCAGGGTATCATTTGCTCCGCAACATTCCGGGCATTTTCGAGGGTCAATTATAATTTTACTAATCGAATAAATCAGCCATCTTGAAAATTGGTTGGACGACAAGAGAGGGAGGGAGAGCCCCAGAAAATTATCTGCTGGAGTATGTATGGCATTTGTCGCTCAAATGAGCAAGGTAGCTTAGATATATTGGGAAATGTATTCAAGTACAAGTACTGTCTGTAACCTAATGTTGTTGTGCTTGTTGCGGTATTATCGTGTATTATTGTTGACGATTCGTATGTAATACCAATACAGATACAGCCCCTCCACGACATGTGACACGCCCCTCGCGGGCTTTGTTCTGATTCTCGTCGGGCGAATCTCAACTTGCTTCCGGACTCCTCAACCTCTCAAACCTCTCTTCTTCTTCTATTCTTCTGCTTCAAAAAGCTCAATCTTTCGTAAGTCACCTATCTCCATACCCTTTCATCCTGTAACCTGCCCAATTCTCATCGAGCCCTCCTAGATTCAACTGTCCGCGAATTCAGATTACCCCACTCCGATACATCCCGCCCAAACTAGCCATCATGGTCAAAGCAGGTTAGTTATGCTCCAAAGAGCTATCATGTTGTCTAGGGAAAAGGCTTCTTCTAACTAATTGCTAGTCGTTCTCGGTGCCTCTGGTGGCATTGGCCAGGTGTGTGCTTCCTATATCGACTACGGGACACCCAAAAACAGCCAAGATATACAAAGAAACCAATTTCAAATTGTTCTTAATCAGGTAGTATATGAAGCGGATACTAACTCTGCTCTCAATATATCTCTAGCCGCTTTCCCTTCTCCTCAAAGCCAGCCCTCTCGTTGATCAGCTCGCTCTTTACGATGTCGTCAATACCCCAGGCGTTGCCGCTGACCTCTCTCACATCTCCTCCATTGCCGTATGTATTCCCCGATACACCACAGATATGAATTGGAATGCTAACAATCGTCTATATAGACTGTCAAGGGATATCTACCCAAAGACGACGGCCTTAAGGATGCCCTCACTGGCGCTGATGTCGTCGTCATCCCCGCCGGAATTCCTCGTATGCAATCCCATACATCTCACCTCGTACCTATTCCAGAGCTGAATTAACCACGTTTCACCCCATCAGGAAAACCCGGTATGACCCGCGATGATCTGTTCAAGGTCAACGCCGGAATCGTTCAGACCCTCGTCAAGGGCATCGCAGAGCACAGCCCTAAGGCTTTTATTCTCATCATTTCCAACCCCGTCAACTCCACTGTCCCCATTGCGGCTGAGGTTCTCAAGGCTGCTGGCGTTTTCGACCCCAAGCGCCTCTTTGGCGTCACCACTCTCGATGTCGTTCGTGCCGAGACCTTCACCCAGGAGTTCACCGGTCAGAAGGACCCTTCCAAGACGACCATTCCCGTCATTGGTGGCCACTCCGGCGAGACCATCGTACCCCTTTTCAGCCAGGCCAAGCCAGCTGTCAACATTCCTGCGGATAGATACGATGCCCTTGTAAACCGTAAGTCGAATCTTTGACACCTGCAATTGACCAATCCGTTTGTACTAGTCACTAATTAAGGAAACAGGCGTCCAGTTTGGCGGTGACGAGGTCGTCAAGGCCAAGGATGGAGCTGGCTCTGCCACCTTGTCCATGGCTTATGCTGGTTTCCGGTAAGTTCCCCTCCCCTCCCTCTCTAACGGTTTTCGGATATAATGTACTGTACATGTACTGCACATTGACTAATAATGAACCCAGCTTCGCCGAGAGCATCATCAAAGCCTCCACGGGCGAGAAGGGTATTGTCGAGCCAACTTACGTCTACCTTCCTGGTGTTGAAGGAGGCGATGCTATCAAGAGCAAAGTCGGCTTGGATTTCTTTTCTATCCCCGTAGAACTGGGCGTAAGTAAACCAAGCCACCCCAATGGAATTAACTTTGGACAGATGCACACAGACTAATATATGAAAACAGACTTCCGGCGCAGAAAAGGCCCAGAACATCCTCGGCGATATCACGGAGCAGGAGAAGAAACTCCTCGAAGTCTGCATCAAGGGCCTCAAGGGCAACATCGAGAAGGGCGTCGAATTTGCTCAGAGCCCACCCCCAAAGTAAACTCCCAACCCAACCCAGCCCGCTCTATTAATTCCTTCTACTCCTACCCTCCATCTTCATCATCAGCATCATAATCATAGCCAAAAATGAAATTTCTTGCGCTCCAATTCAACCGTCCATCCATTAGCGCTTGTTCATTCCCCAAAAGTGAACCGCACCTTTTTTCTTTTTTCCTTTTTTTTCCTTGCATCCCTTGCCCTAGGCATCCGCCCAAACCGAAGAATAGAAGAAAGGCACAAAAACACGAACTGTAAGCGAGAGGCATGTTTACTAATTAATGGTTTTATTTCCCTCCCTCCTTTTCCGGCGGATAGGCTCTAGGATCATCATATAAGACAGACACAAGCATACACAGCATAGATCGCGATGAGACAACGCATATGGAACAAAAAAGAAATACATTCAGCTTTCCCTCATACATTTCTATATAGCGAGTGCCTTGGTAGTGGGTCAGCAAGGGCCGGGTTGGTGGTTTCGGCTTTAAAGAAAAAAAGATGAACCTAATACAAGAATGAATAGAATGGCATGTTCTTTAGAAAATGAATACATGCGTCACGTTTCAATTCCTTCCGGCACCACCTGTTGGGGCATTTCCTCCTACTTGTTCCATGGTACCGACTATCGAAGGAAAAGATGAAAATGAAAAATGAAAATGTAATAGAGAAAGATAGAATGCAGAAAGGAGACTCGGCAAGTATCCATGAAAATTTGATTTCATTAAACCCTAAGTTCCGTAAACATGTACGAACTCCTAGTAACTCCAAAGAAATAAATCAAAATGAACAAATAACCCTACAAAATAGCACAGGCCAGGGTATTTATTTACTCAAGTTAGGGGGTATCTCAACATGTTCATGACTTGGGGTGTTGTAATTGCTGCTGTGGCTGTGTTGGCGGTTGCGTTATCTGCATCGTCTTGATCTGAAATGTTGCGCTGGGGAGGTCTGACGACTCAGCTTGCACGGTGGCGGTTATGCCCATGCTTGCTAGGCCACCGCGGATTATCCCGCAGGGGAACCAGAGGTACTAAACGTTGAGTTAGAGAGGGCTTGCTTGGATGTTAAGTTCTGCGGGGTGCGCGGGTCTTGCAGATAAAGGGGGAAAAATTGGCGGGTAGCTGATGATCCACTTTGATATCCTTTAATTTCTTTCGCTTTTGCTGGGATACTTACTGATTGTGCCTTTGCGGTGGCTTCGTTCCGATTTGACATACTCATTCGTATCAAAGGGCGGAAGGCGTTATCGGTTAGAACGTACACGCCCTACAGACAGAACTTTAGTGATATGTTCACCCTGATACGCACGACGCTTGATCCAATTATCAAAGGGTAACGGGGTAGATAGAATGGAATAGAGCGTCGCTTGGGAAGTGAAAATGGGGTGAGGGTATGTTGGGGAGTTGAAACCCCTTCCTGGTGTTTGCTTCAGTACCCTATGGTTCGTTTTAAGATTATCAATTTGCTTCCGGAATAAAATCGTCCAAAAATCTTTGCAAAGGAATTTTATCACATCGAGATTATCTGTGAATCGGGGTCTGTCTCGTGAAAATCTATCGGCGCATCCGATACATATGATATCAGTTAGCCAATGTTGGTCCAACATAGAGAAGGGATATCGTGCGGTATGCAAATGGGAAATTGTAGTAGCACGAAATAGATCACCAGTACGGGGATATAAGAAAACGATTGGAGAAGAAGATATGTAGGAATATACGATATCGTACATCCATTCGTCACCAATGCTCACTCCCAATCCCAGTCCAGAAATGCACAGGAAGCTGGAGTATACCAATCTATACATCTTCGATATATGGGGCATATCTCCATGTATATTTGCCTCACCTCTCAGCCAACCCTTGTCCAACTCGAAACCCCAACGTCTCCAATCTATAAAACGTAGCTTCGCGATGCTCTTCTTCGTCCAATTTTCCTTCCACACCTGATAGTTCCTCCGCTAGTCGCTCAGCCATTGGCACTAGTTCTATGAGGAGTAGATCTAGACATGACGCGCTGACGAAACGGGCATGCGGGTCCGATACGTTGAACGGTTGGGGAAGTGTGTCGACGGACATCTGACTGAGAGGGCGGGGTGTAGGGTTGATGCTTTTGTTCGTGCGGAGAACCGCTGGGGATTTAGGATAAGTTGTTCGGAGCGGAACGAGAAGGGACCGGTGCTGTTTTATTTGGGAAAGTATTAGGATTGCAGGGTGTCTGAGAGTTGAAGAAGTATCATTCTTTTAGTGTCTGTGAGGATTTTGAGGAGTAATTGAGGCGTAGAAGGAGAGTTTATTGAAATGTGAAGAGAGAGAGAGCTTTCTTATCTGCGGAGGATGGGATGGGGATGGTAGATAACTAGTTACCTAATCCGGTTAAGCTCTTCATCATTTATATACATCGGTTTTTATAACTAACTTCACTGTGAATTATATCATCTCACTAATACTCAGATAATAATCAAGAATTCAGAGAAATTTAGACGAAGTAATAGGAAAGTTGAAACTCTTATCCTATATAATAGAAGGTTACAGATAAAAGAAAATATTAGCTTAACTGACAGCTATATCCATTATTAAATAGATACATAGATTATCTTCTCACTATGATAATGTCTTCTCTGAAGAAGAGATATTGAAAATTATTAGACATAAAAATTTAATGTGAGAATCATCCATATTATTAAGAATACAGTAGTCTATGATTGCCAATACTCTCTTGTGTACGAATATAGATTGATTACTGTTTTAATCAAAACAAAGCATTGCGCTTAGGCTATTAGAGGAGAATGATATAGAACCTCATGTTCTCGGTTCGGTTTGTTTATGGGGTTTGACGGTTTCTAACGCGTCTCACTTTGAAAACCAAGGAAAGACAACGAGGGGAAGACAAGGCATATGCAATGGGACTTGGGCAACAATCCACGTTTAATCATTTCTAGATATTCTAGCTCAAGGGAAAAAAAATATGTATCATTGGCTCCCGAACGCCTCGCTCCACAAGGTTGCCCGTATTATCCCTAATTCAAATAACGTAAATGCCCATGCTACGTGCGGGTGGTGTAGCAGGCAAGCAGACGGTAGATGGCGACAATCCCCGGCCAAAACGATTCCTTGCGCCGAGACTTCCTTTCACACAAGTGAAAGAGAACAGAATAAAATATACGAATGAAATAGAAGACTGCGCTGGAAAGCAGGTAGCAATCGAAAATCTTCCCAGACAAAAACCTCTTGTAAACCACAATAGTCGATTATTGACATTTTGGTGAATAAAAGATTTTTTAGGCATCATAATAAAACGGGTTCGCGGCTGGAGAGTTAGATTCACTCTGACTGGAGAGGCCAAAACTGGCATTGCTCACGTTGGCCCGTGGGGCAAAATCTGAATACCGATGTCTCGAATATTGACTGGAGCTAAGTTGTAGGTGTGGGCGCTTTGCGGGACGAGGAGGTTCCTCCTCTTCATCGTCGCTTATAGTCAAGTCAATGACCTGGCTAGCTGGTCGTTTATTATTTGGTGTTGGCCAAGAGGCAGACTGAGTGGATGAAAGTTCCCCAGCCTGTGCTGGTGGGGTGCGGTGAAGGGTCATTGCGGTAGACGGCTCCTGTTTTAGGGAGACTACTCGTGAATCTTGGATTTCTATTAAATCATCATCCCTGCCATCGGTTGCGGGGGATGGGTCTCCGCCCGGTGTCAGATTGTCACCGTCTCTTGATATATGCCACGTGCCGTCTGGGTCAACTGTAACTTGATCAAGGCTCGGCGGTGTCGACCTCAGTATAATATCGACGTATCTAATTGCGTTAGTTAGAGGTAAATAGTGGATGAGTTTGAATCCTTTGAGAAATACTAATGGCTTACTGGTCGATTTGCAGTGCTTCGAAGTTCGTTGCTTTGTTGCACACAGGACACGTCCACGTCGGAGCCTGCTCTTGCAATTGTAGAAACGATGTCGCATCGAAGCACTGGTTATGTAAACAAATCGTAGACCTGCAGGGAACCGCTATTCGAAGGGTTGATAGGGGGCATTTTAATGACATTACGGTAGAAGTCGCAACAATGTCGGCATCTTCGGCTTTGCTTTTCACTAATATTGTTTTGTCAGATATGATTGAGCAGTTCGTGGTACATCCATAATCCGAGAACCTCTTACTTTCACGTATAACTTGCTCAGCCGATATTGTTTTGCGATCTCGTAATCGGTTCACCAACTCCTCCACTGAACGTTTTCGAACAAGGTATATAACTACAAAGTATTTCTACACATAGAAAATTAGTTCAACGAGCCAAAGTAACACATATAGTGATGGGCCAGGCCTGATGAGTAGTTGTTTATGGCTTGCCTTCTGTGTAAGTGCGTATGTCATAACGACGTGGTTAGCATAGCCAGCCTTCTTTCGGATGAAACCGGTAATGTCTGCAGGCCGCGTTGAACCAGGCTTGTTCTTCAGCCCTCGTAAGTTTGCCTTAACGTCGTCTAGGTTCGCCTTGAGCTCAACTTGGTGAGGGAAAGTAATGTCACTTTTGGTATACTGAGTGAGGCCGCTATCTACTGCACAGTAAACCATCACGCGCCAAGATGGGTCATTTTGCAGCCGGGCTGCATTCATCGCTGAAAGGACAACTTTTAGATTTACGCTATCTCGCGTACTTTCCCTGACTGCAAAGATTTTAGTCATTTGCCGTGCAAAGCATTCTGAGAGCATCTAGAGCTCACCTTTGCATTCTACCACTGGTGTCAACGGTTCTAGTATAGAATAAAAAGGGCTGTCCTTAAACCTAAGTCGACCTAGGAATGCAATTAGTTCAAAACCAAGTATACATGACCTATGGGAAAGCATACCATCAGGAAAGGAATGACTTGGAGTCATTGGGAGTGAAAAGGTGGACACTGGTTGCTGCGCATATGTGGACAGTGCAGATTGAGGCTGTTGGTAGGTAGCAGGAGACTGTGAAGGAGTGGATGGCGGTGGATGTTGAGCTGTAGCATAGATGAATTCTTTCAGTAGATTATATCTATCGTTTTGCCCCGAACGAAAGCATTGTTCAAGTCCTGGGGGAATCCAATGTCAGTACTGCTTGCTGCCCTTGCGGCTAGAGGGTTTGAGACTTACGGCCAATTATTCGTTCTTGTAAAACGGCCTTAACACCCGAGACTGCAAGGCCCTCATATCGCAGTATGTCCTTTAGTTGGGCATTTAATAACGACTTCACCAGAGCTATAACCCGTTGCAAGTCTGCCATATCCTGTCCTGTTGAAGCCATTTCGAGAATTCGTCGACTCTAGGCTAACGGCTACGAAGAGGAGGTGACATAGAAGGGGCCGAGTTTGCTAGGTACAAAGG